CATCAACATTTTCCAAATAATATGTGAAGCAGGCAGAGATCCTCTTCCACCCAATATAAAAGATTGAAACCCAAGTGTATCTCCTAAAGCTTTTCATGAACACAGTCTCACAGTCTACCCTGATCACACATCTAACATATTTCCCTTGCTAAAAATGTATTACATTTTCAGAAGTAAAGTCTAGAGGCAAAAGCAAGATACAAACCATTCATTTATGAAAAGTTTAGAATAAATAAATATCTCCAGATGCTGGATGAGAATAACTGCAACCTTAGGGGCTGCTTAAATTAGAGTGATGTTGAAACAGAAGATACACGCTGCGGTCTACACTGCAACTAAAATGAATGTGGATGACGCATGGATCTGATCCACAGTGGTTCCTACTGAAAGTAGCCGGTTTGAGTAAGCAACTCTTCATCACTAATGCAAACCTGAACCAACTGTACTTTGTATACTGATTTCTAAACGACAGAGTTCTTCCTATTTTTTACAGCTTGCATTTTTAACAGGAAAATACAGCACTGAACAACCTAGAAGAACTGGACAAATTCCTTAAAAATACAACCTTCCAAGACTGACCCAGGAAGAAACAGAGAATCTGAATAGACCAATTACTAGCAACAAAATTGAACGGGTAATCAAAAAACTGCCAACAAACAGAAGTCCGGGACCAGATGGCTTCACAGCTGAATTCTACCAAACATTTAAAGAAAAGCTAATAGTGATTCTTAAAGTTTTCCAAGAAGTAGAAGAGGACGGAATACTTCCAAACTCATTCTGTGAGGCTGGCATCACTCTAATACCAAAACCAGACAAACACACCACAAAAAAAGAAAACTTTAGACCAAGATCCCTGATGAACTTAGATGCAAAAGTCCTCAACAAAACATTAGCAAACCTAATTAAAAAAATACATCAGGAGGACCATCCATCACAACCAGGTGGGATTTGTTCCAGGGATGAAAGTACGGTACGATATTAGCAAGCCGATCAATGTCATATACCACAGTAATAAAAAGGATAAAAACCACATGATTACCTCAATAGATGCCGAAAAAGGATTTGACAAAATTCAACATCCATTTATGATAAAAACTCTCTCAACAAAATGGGTGTGGAGGATACATACTTCAAGTTAATATAAGACGACATACAACAAACCCACAGCGAACATCATACTCAATGGTCACAAACCAGACAAGGATGTCCACTCCCCCTTTTATTCGACATTGTACTAGGAGGTCCTAGGCACAGCAATCAGACAAGACAGAGACTTGTTGGTGGGAATATAAATTGGTGCAGTGCCTGTGGAAAGCAGTATGGAGGTTCCTCAAAAAACTAAAAATAGAAATACCATATGACCCAGTAATTCCACATCTAGGAATTTACCCAAAGGAAACAAAATCCTGACTTGAAAAGATATATGCACCCCTATGTTCACCGCCACATTATTTACAACAGCCAAGTGACGGAGGCAACCTAAGTGTCCATCAAGAGATGAATGGATAAAGATGTGGTACATATACACAATGGAGAATTACTCAGCCACCCCCCACCAAAAAAAAAAAAATCAAAAAGAAATCCTGCCATTTGCAACAATATGGATGGACCTAGAGGGTATTGTGCTATGTGAAGTAAGCCAAGCAGGGATAGACAAATACCATATGTTTCACTTATTTGTGGAGTATAAAAACAAAACAAAATGAACAAAATAGCAGCAGACTCACACTGAGAAATGACTGGTGGTTACCATGAAAGAGGGGTTGGGCTGGATGGGTGGGGTGTGTGACAGGGATAAATGGGCACAAAAATTCTCAGTCATAGTATAAGTTGGTCATGGGGACGGTAGTGCAACATGGAGAATACAGCCACTGATTCTGGAACATCTTCCTGTGCTGACAGATAGTAGCCACAGTAGAGGGGATGAGGATTTAATATGGGGAACTGCTGAACCACTGTGTTGTATACCTGAAACCAACATAAGACTATCAACAATTCAATAAAAAATTTTGTTAGAAAAGGAAAATATGTCACTGACTTCAAAGTGTCACTAAATAATCCTGAGCTGGTTTCTTCCTTTTATATATGTTTGCAAAGCACCAACTATAGACTCCAATAAGAACCAGGAAAAACCAAGGAGGAAGCCTGACTGTTTCCTAATTTATCCTTCTGATGTGGGGGTGGGGATGCTACAGAGAGAGAGCCAGCCGTCACTTTCAGAGGACTCGACCGCTGTGTCAGAGCATACTGACATCCTTACATGTTCAGATGTGACCTTACCTGTTGATTAGTCTAATACATTCTCTGTTAACTGTGCCGGCTAGACTCCACTGGTGATTACATTTGCTAGTGTGAGGAATCAGATCTGTAATCCACGTTTGAGAGAATTTAAAAGATTCTTCTGTCAAACAAACCTATATGTAAAATGAATTTCTGTATTTACACAGTGACAATATAATCTCAAGTTACCTGAAAAGAGGCATGCCTTTCTTCTCTCCTCCCCAAATCCCCCATGGGTAATTTTTAATACTTTCAAACCAGAAAAGGAATATAGCTGGAGGACGGAATGCAAGAGAGACATACAGAAGCATTTTGACTGATTCCATTCAAGTGACTGATAATCAATGAGACTGACTATAAATACCATCACACTTACTTTTTCCGATCACACCCCAAGATTCTACAGTCTACCTCAGTTACGCTGGCACATCGAACAGGAAACCCAGTTTACTGCAGACTGAAATATCAGCAGTATGATAAATAAAAAGAGAGCCTCTCATTCTTTGGCATGATCCACATAAACCAAACTTCTGAAAACTGGAAGAAAAGATTATCTCATAGAGCCTATAAAAAATAAATATACTTTAGAAAGGTAACCATTAAAAGTTGCGGTCACTCAATATCAAATCTTGTATATTGTTTTCTTAGCAAATGATCAACTCCTATCTAGTTTCCAGCTGAACGGGCAATAAATATAATGGGACTAGGCCATTCACGGGCTCACCTTAGACAGGAAGATGGTATGTATGCCATCATGCTGTGAAGACTGCCAGGCCAACTTTAATTATGAGCAGGCTACTGGGGGTTTTTAGATGCATAAGGTGCTTATCAACTCAAGTCTGCCCATGGTGAGAGCTTAGGTCACCCAAATGAGAAACAACAGTGTGAAGGACAAGCAATGATTTTTTTGGGGTTTTTAGATGCATAAGGTGCTTATCAACTCAAGTCTGCCCATGGTGAGAGCTTAGGTCACCCAAATGAGAAACAACAGTGTGAAGGACAAGCAATGATTTTTTGAGGCTGACTTTATTCCTTCCTACTTAACAATGGCAATCACTATAAAACATGTTTTTATTTTCTTGGTGGGGCAGGGGAGGTGGTCACTACCAAGGATGAACAAGCACATGCAGATGTGGACCTATCCAGTTCTCTTTCATATCTTCTCTATTCCTATCTCTTCTATTTCTTGAGGAAACTTACGATAGGCATAAGACTAAGGAATTATTAATGATTTTCCCAATAGGTAACGTGCTTTATATAAATTTCATTCCCAATTTCTAGAAATAATGACAGATGCCTAACATATTTTTTTTTAATAAGTCATACAGTTTAAATATTCAAATAAAAAGAAAGAGAACTAAGCTGGCCCCACTTTCTGGGTACCAGAGGCCTGACTTACCTGGACTAGAGTAGGTAACACAGGCATGATGCTGGTATAATAAGGGAACAAGTAAAAATGGGCGATGGATTGGCAAACTCTACTTTCCAATCTGGAAGTAAAGATGCAGAGCCGCCTTGAGCCCACCGCGGCCCTCACAACGGTCTCGGTCAGCAGGAAACGCTGGCTTTCCATTCTTGCCACTCTCTCTTCTTCACAGCTCCACATTCTCTGGCATTTTGACCCTTTTTGCTCACTGAAGCTCACTTCGGTCTGTCAAAACATCGAGGGGGAAAATCCCCAAACCGAACAGATGAATAAACACTTTTCGTGTGAACAATCATATTAAGATTAACCTCCTTTGCAAAAATAAAAGTCAGTGGGTTTTTCATCCTTAAGTAACTCAAATATGGCTGGGTTTTTTTTTTTTTTTTTGCCTTTACTAAATGGCACTTTTCATGTTATTGACATTAGCCAATTATTTGCTTCTTGCTTCTATTTTTCTCTAATCACACTGGTACCCTGTGTTTTTCTTTTTGATTGCATTCCATCCCAGAATATTTGATTTTTGACTATCTTGTTCTGTGAATAGATCTGCTATTAATTAGTGAAACTCATAAAAGGAAAAAGGAAGCAGTGAACACTAGTGCTAGCAGGATCTCACGTCAACATCCATACCAGTTTTTATAAGAAAAACATTCACTTTTATTAAGGGAATCTACAACCATTATTGTATGGTACTACATCTTGCAGCATTCTCAAACGTGCCAGCATTCGGTATGGACAGCAAGCTGGCTCACAGGAAACAAAGCATAATGCACAAATACGGGCAGCTGGTAGGACCCCAGCAGCACGGCAATAAAGGGCAGCAAACATTTCCTTATTTGAATAAGAACTCCTGCAACCTCGGAGTATTTTTGGTAAAGTTAAGGAAAAGCTACTGCAGTCAGGGGAGGGCTGTCTTTAGACTTCAAAGACTGGCTGCCAGGGACCACAGTGAATATCAGACCTGAAGCCAGTGGAAAAAATACTAGGTTGGCAAAGAACGTGTTTCCTCCCAAAATGCAAAGCTATCTTATACAGATGCTTAGCATACTATGATTTGACAGGTTTACAGTGATTAAAACGGCAGAGAGAAATGATAACAGTATTTATACCATTAGCATGTAAAGAACATAGATCTAAAAATCGGCAGCCAGAAATTCTGTGACAGCTCCTGAGACGAGCGGCCCTCTGCCCTGTCCACTCCATGCCAGCAGTGACCAGCGTGAATGGGACACAGAGTAAAAACGGGGCACTAGTGTGTGTGAGTGAGAAATACTGGAGAAGTGAAATAGTTGCATGTTATTAAATGACAAAACATATTTAGAGGCTTTATTTAAAAATCTCTCACCGTTCATTATCAAAGTTACAAGATTGTTTGCATACCAACAGACAGACTGTAAACATAGGAAATTTTCATTAAGGAAAGATGGGTTTACTGTAATTTGATCTTTTACAAAAAATTACTGCAAGTTATTGGTAACAGAATTTCTCTTTTACTTTCTTAAGTCTAATTCTCTTGAAAATTAAACCATTGTTTCCAGTCCCTCGAGCTAAAGTTCAACCACGGTCACCTTAGGAAATACCCCTGTTGATTTATTAATCAGAAACACCAATTGAGTGGCACACATTTCCATTTTCTTCCTAGGCCAAAGGTTTCAGCTTCACTGTATTTTCCAGGCACGCAGCAGCCTCGCAGGGGTCCTGTCCTGTAAAAAGGCTTCCTTGTCGCAGCTGAGGCGGAACAGCAGAGACGGGGGGCAGGGGGGCCCTTATCTCCCATGGCATCATCTTCCTGCTCGGCTTGCAGTGGTGTTTCTGGTCAGGCTGCCTCCACCGAACCTGACCGAAGCAGCAGGGTGACATGCTCTGGAAAGTCCTGCCTAAGGGTGATTCCGCGCAGGCAGATCGTTGGTCCTTCAATCTGTTGGCTGTGGGGTGATACTGATATGAAGAAAGTTATCCGGGTAGCTCAGATGTTCACTCAGCCACTGCAGAGGTGTGTCTAACATTGGCTCAATTCCATGAATCATCACTTGATTCTTTTTTTCTCCATCTAGCCCAAGAAAGAAATTCAATTACAATCAGTAAGAGTAAAAAGAGGTGAGGAAAAAAATAAAATCTTGCTCTGCAGGGATCTGTAATGAATTAAATGGATTTTACAGCTTCACCAGGTGAAACCAGGCTTGTCTCCTGAGCAGGAAATGTGGACATGGAGAAAGTTCAAATGTTGCAGTATGTATCACCCAAAACAGAAACCTGAGGGTTACAATGAATTCTGATAAAAATTCTGTTGCTATATGTGAAAGTATTCATTCTTTCTTAATTACTGTGCGTACCTAAGACTGACGTTAATGAAACTGCAGTGTAGAAAACAGCGCATTGTACCCACTGACCAAAATTTATTTTAGTTACACTTAAAAACCGTACTATACGGCTACTGAAGACAACAGTTATGAAGTAGGTCAATGCATACTTGGCATGTGTCAAATAGAAATGTGACTGTAAATCATCAAGAATGGGATCAGTGTTTGGGAAGCTGTTTAAACTTATCATAAAGTTGTTCAAATATCAGCATGTTTGAGGAACATTATTAGAGTAAGAGCTACAGCTTTAATGTGAAGGAACTCAAGTCTGACTCCGGGGTTCCTGCCCTGGGAGTCATGACACCTGATTCTTGTTAACGCCCAGCTGCTGATCGAAAGGGTGCTGCAATTCACTTTCCTTCTAAATTCAGATTTTATTACAAATGGAATTTAAGGTTAGTTTTGCATCTTTTATGATTTTGGTATGATGTAGCACTGACAATATTTTAAGTAAATGGCAGCACCCCTGGTCGCTATAGGAAAACAAAACCGAACTCCTTTGGAAACAACAAAACATAGAACCTTCAAGAAACTCTGTCACTCAGCACAATTCTTGTTTTGTCTCTTGTAATGTCTTCAAAATACAGTGTCTAAACCTCTCTGCTTCCTGGAAACAGGAGACAATAATAAGGAAACATGGAATTCATGGAACTGTACCAGGGAAACACTCCACCGGTTCTGCTCTGTCCACATGACTTTTGCATCGCTGGTACTCTAATGTCTAGGCAGAAGGGGCTGATGATGTCTGGTGATAAAAAGAAACCCTTTTGAAGATATACTTAAACTTCCTGTTAGAGGCAGTGCAGTCCTCGGCGATGCTTGATGGACTGGCAGTGAGAGAGGACATAAAAACACTGCAGAGAATTGATAAAAGAATGCCAAAGATAAAAACCTAGCAAGCACACATACTATCAACCCCAAAGATGACCAAATAAAAGCCCCCAAACAAACCCGTGATTCACTGTGATAGTTTAAAACAATTTTGGAAGCAGACATCCCTCAAGATACTAACCTAGAAAGTGTTCATGTTGAGATGTTGCTGCCAGTCTCTGCTGCATCTACACACACTGTTTTACACAGTTGTGATCTGTGTTAATACCATAGCTGGTTTTCATAATGATGGGGATCATCTATAAATAAGAAATTAAGCAATATACAGAATACAACAGAAAGCGGTGTTGGTACTTGAGAAGATTTTTAAATGTTGGTATTCAAATGGATAAGCCCTCAGCCATCTGGAATGATTCATTCTTTGTAAGTTCTACATTGCCAAGGTTTTACTGTATCAAATCTTTCTTAGAATACTTGAAAACATTTCCGGTGTAGTTTTCTCCATATTCTTATTATATAGTTCTTTGAAATATTTTAATGTTCTCAGAATTTTCCTCCTACTGAGCACTGAGTCAAAAAATGAAAGAGCATGTAGTGTAAGAGTCAAAGCTCCTTATCTGTAAAGTTCTTCCTTAAGCCAGAGTCATCTTTGGACACTATGAAACAGAACAAACAAGTCACAAGGCCCTACCCCACATACTGTGCCTAAAACCATGTTCAAATGTGGGAACAAATACAACACGGCACATGAAGACACCAACACCGAGGATGGAGGGAGGTCATGAGTTCTCCACAGAAGGTGAAGGACATAAGCATCATTCGAACACTGTGCGTAACAAACCCAGTAAATCAGGTTATCAGAAAACTGAACAGGCAGCACTGACCCTCTGCTTGAAACTGGGGGGACTTTTCCGGGGAGGGGTTGGGGTGAGGAGGTGGGGGATAAAGGGGCACAATAATTTCCAATCACAATGTAAGCTGGTCACATGGAGAACACAGCCAATGATTCTGTAACATCTTCTTATGTTGACAGATAGTAGCTGCACTATTGGGGGGAGGATTTAATAATATGGGGAACTGGTGAGCCACTGTGTTGTATACTTGAAACCAATGTAAGAGTGCATATCAATGATACTTCAGTTTTAAAAAAAAGACAAGACATAACAAGTATTGGCGAGAATGTGGAGAAAAGGGAACACACTTGTACACTCTTGTTGGGGATGTAAATTGTGGCCACTACAGAAAACCTTATGGTCACATACAATTAAGAATTGAACCACCGACAATCAAACAATGCCACGTCTGGGTATTTATCCCAAGAGAACAAAAATGCCGATTTGAAGAGATATATGCTGCCCACCTCATGTTCACTGCAGCACTATTTACAATAGCTGAGAAATGAAAGCAACCTAAGTGTCCACTGATGGGGGAATGGATAAAGAAGATGTATATATACAGTGGAATCCTTCTCAGCCATAAAAAAGCATGACACCTTCCCCACTTGTGACAGCATGGATGGACATAGAGGATATTATGCCTGGTGAAATAGACAGAAAGACAGATACTGTATGATTTCACTCACATGTGGAATCTTAAAAAACAAAATAAATAAAACAAATTCATAGATACAGAGAACAGATTGGTGGTTATCAGAGGGGAGGAGACTGGAGGGCAGGCACAGAGGAGAAATGGGGTCACCTGCACGGGGATAGGTGGTAAACAGACTTTTAGTGGTGACCACTTTTTAGTGCATACACACATGTTGAACTATAATGCTGTACACCTGAAACTTGTATGATAGTAAACATTGATTTTAAGTCAATAAAAAATTTTTAATTAAAAAAAAACTTGGGGGACTTTTAATCTGTAACATAAAAGTGTCACTAACTAAACTTAGACAACAAAGGGAGTGGATCTAGGACTGTCATATTCTTCAAGACAACAGTTTAAGATTTTAAATACATTATTTTGTCACTGCCTACATTTGTCCAAATTTATCTTTCTTGTCTTCTGACTTCCCCCAATAACACAACTGTCACCAGGGGGATTGATTCTTAGACTGGGAGGCAGTCCCCTTCCAACTACTAACCAAAGCTGTTCTCTTCGTCATCATCTACCTCCAGGGCCTGGCACGGTGCCTGATGCTTAGGAGTCGGTCAATAAATGTTTCTGGAGCCGGATTATTCGTTGCTGTAGAACACACTGCCACAATTACTGTTCTGGGAACAGCTTCTGACAGCAGTACTATCAGCAGAAGAGCTCTACCTGTAAAGACTGTTTTGATCATTAAGACAACAAAAAGTCAAAGTGTTCCCAGATAAGCCAAGAGGTGTATATGCCATCACCAAAATTCATGCCATAAATAACAACAAAGCATGACTGGGCACTTTGGTAATAATCAGAACTAACAAAACAGAGCAGTGAAAAATTAGATGTCTCTTTTTTTTCCTAACAGTAGAAAGCAAACACTTGATACATTGCTAAAGCAAATCATGTTTTTGGTAAAGAGGCCTTTGTGTTTCAAAATGGGAATCTAGAATTTAGTACTTGGGAATAAAAAATATGTCACTACAAAGCAAATGACTCAGGAGAAAAATGTTATTCCACACCTCGCCCACTCAGGTTTCTTTAAAAGTCAGCTAGATGGTTTAGAGTAAGCAAATGTTGAGACAGTAATCAAGTGAACCCGTTCTATATGAATTCTCATACACAGGGCACTTTTTGGAGGTAACTTTGATTTTGATATATTTTTCACACTTATATAATAGTTGCAAAAGTAGTACAAGGAATTCCCCTTCACCCAGTTCATCAATTGTTGACATTTTGCCCCATTTGCTTAATTATCATTCTGTGCATAGATTTTCTGAATCATCTGAGAATACATTAGAAACAGTTCTTTACCTCTGAATATTTTAGTGTATACTTTCTAGTAAAGATACTCTTTTACCTAATTATAGTTGTTATGAAAAAAGTTTTTGATTTAACATTGATATACTACTACTATACTATCATCTCAAATTTTATCAACAATCCTAGTTATTTTTTTTCTCAGTCTAGGATCCAGTCCAGGAATCACGCAATGCTTTTAATTTTCATGTCTCTATATTGTCCTTTAATCCGGAGAGTTTTTAGTTTTTCTCTGGATTTCTTAATCTTGACAATATTGAAGAGTACACCTCATTACGTAGAATGTCCACAAAGCAATTTTTAAACCTGTTCTAATTCATCTTGTAAATATAAAGATAGTCATTCATAAATACTTTGGGTCTACAAATTAAGGAAAAGGCCAGAAACCAATGTCAGAAAAGTGTATTTTTCTTCAGATAGAAGAGGAATCCAATTCACTTTAAAAGTCAGATATTAAATCTTAAGTGATCATGTATCAATAGAGAATATCACAATAAAGTTTCATTTTCATATTTACTTATAGGCCTAAGTTTTTATGAAAGATAAAATGTATTACCACCAATAGCCTCATAAAAACAAATTCAAGTATTAGTTAGCATGTACTTTAAACTGAGTATTTTTAGAGTTGTGGGACACTCTAAGAAAAATATATTCAGAGGGATTCTGACTGTATGACTAGAATAAGAAAAACTATATACAGAAGCAAAAATTAAAGAAAGAAAATTCACATTAGCCACACAAGTCACTAATGAAAACTTAGTGAGCTTAAAACAATGGTAACTTCTAATGCATATATAAAAAAAGAAGTCTATATATGGATGTGTGTACATACAAGCTCCTATATATAAAATGAATATAATAAATATACAATAATACAAATAAAACAAAGGAGAAACAGCCCATTTTGCACTATAGTTATTAAGGTGCTACTGAAAAACAGACGAATCGGGAG